GATTCATGAGTGTTGCACTGATTCCTGAAGGTAGCTTTGATTCATGAGTGTTGCTTTGATGCACGAGTGTAGTTTTGATTCATGAGTGTAGCTTTGATTCATGTGTGTAGCTTTGATTCATGAGTGTAGCTTTGATTCATGGGTGCAGATTTGATTCATGAGTGTAGCATTGGTTCACATGTGTAGCTTTGATTCATGAGCGTAACTTTGATTCATGAGTGCAGATTTGATTCATGAGTGTATCATGGATTCCTGAAGGTAGCTATGATTCATTTGTGTAGCTTTTATTCATGAGAGCAGCTTTGATTCATGAGTGTAGCTTTGATTCATGGGTACTGCTTTGATTCATGAGTGTAGCTTTGATTCATGGGTACTGCTTTGATTCATGAGTGTAGCTTTGATTCATGGGTGCAGATTTGATTCATGAGTGTAGCATTGATTCATGAATACAGCTTTGATTCACGTGTGTAGCTTTGATTCATGGGAGTAACTTTGATTGATGACCGTAGCTATGATCCATGAGTCTAACTTTGATTTATGAGTGCAGCTTTGATTCATGAGTGTAACATTGATTCATGAGTGTAGCTATGATACACGCGTGTAGCTTTGATTCACTCATGTAGCATGATTCATTTGTGTAGCTTTGATTCACGTGTGTATCTTTGATTCATGAATACAGATTTGATTCATAAGTGCAGCTTTGATTCACGTGTGTAGCTTTGATTCACATGTGTAGCTTTGACTCATGAATACAGCTTTGATTCATGAGTGCAGCTTCGATTCATGAGTGTAGCTTTGATTCATGAGGGTAGCTTTGAATCATAAGCGTAGCTATTATTCACGTGTGTAGCTTTGATTTATGAGAGTTACTATGATTGATGAGCGCAGCTATGATTTAAGAGTGTGGCTTTTATTCATGGGTGTAACTTTGATTCATGAAAGAAGCTTTGATTCATGTGTGTAGCTTTGATTCATGAATACAGCTTTGATTCACGTGTGTATCTTTGATTCATGAATACAGATTTGATTCATAAGTGCAGCTTTGATTCACGTGTGTAGCTTTGATTCACATGTGTAGCTTTGACTCATGAATACAGCTTTGATTCATGAGTGCAGCTTCGATTCATGAGTGTAGCTTTGATTCATGAGGGTAGCTTTGAATCATAAGCGTAGCTATTATTCACGTGTGTAGCTTTGATTTATGAGAGTTACTATGATTGATGAGCGCAGCTATGATTTAAGAGTGTGGCTTTTATTCATGGGTGTAACTTTGATTCATGAAAGAAGCTTTGATTCATGTGTGTAGCTTTGATTCATGAGGATAGCTTTGATTCAAGAGCGTCGCTTTTATTCATGTGTGTAGCTTTGAAACATGAGGATAGCTTTGATTCAAGAGTGTCGCTTTTATTCATGTGTGTAGCTTTGATTCATGAGGATAGCTTTGATTCAAAATTCTGGCTTTTATTCATGTGTTAAGCTTTAATTCACGAGGACAGCTTTGATTCATGAGTATAGCATTGATTCAAGTGTGTAGCTATGATACACGCGTGTAGCTTTGATTCACTCATGTAGCTTTGATTCATTTGTGTAGCTTTGGTTCACGTGTGTAGCGTTGATTCACCTGTGTAGCTTTTATTCATGTATGTAGCTTTGATTCATGAATACAGCTTTGATTCACGTGTGTATCTTTGATTTATGAATACAGATTTGATTCATGAGTGCAGCTTTGATTCACGTGTGTAGCTTTGATTCACATATGTAGCTTTGACTCATGAATACAGCTTTGATTCATGAGTGCAGCTTCGATTCATGATTGTAGCTTTGATTCATGAGGGTAGCTTTGAATCATAAGCGTAGCTATGATTCACGTGTGTAGCTTTGATTCATTAGAGTTACTTTGATTGAAGAGCGCAGCTATGATTTAAGAGTGTGGCTTTTATTCATGGGTGTAACTTTGATTCATGTGTGTAGCTTTGATTCATGAGGATAGCTTTGATTCAAGAGTGTCGCTTTTATTCATGTGTCTAGCTTTGATTCATGAGGATAGCTTTGATTCAAAATTCTGGCTTTTATTCATGTGTTAAGCTTTAATTCACGAGGACAGCTTTGATTCAAGAGTGTGGCTTTTATTCATGTGTCTAGCTTTGATTCATGAGGATAGCTTTGATTTGAGAGTGTGGCTTTTGTTCATGTGCGTAGCTTGTATTCACAAGTTTCGATTTCATTCCTGAGCACAGTTTCTTGAATTTCCCGCTTGGCTATCGTAACACCAGACTAGAACACAGATTTATGACAGTTTTAACGCTAAGATTGATTTGTTTACCGGAACCCTTAAGTCACAGTGGCTTAGGAAACACAGACAGTACCGTTCTCACATGTATGTCTTCCAAGTGGGTGCATCCCACTGTTTCATTTATGTGAAAGCAACACTATTGACCAACATATTCAGTTTCTCTTTCCGCTACTATATGCATGAGTCACACGTGATTTCTGTAAATTGTATAATAAATAACCATGATATGTTTCACAGCTTCTTGCAGTCATATACAAACAAATATATTGTAATTGATTACAAGGCACTTAATTGGCTAATCAACCAACGTTTTTGCTTCAATGTTTTCATAAACCAAAACAAGATTTGGCAACGCGTTTTAGGGTTACTTTGGCATTCTCATGTTCTTATTTCCCCGGACTTTGTCCTTCGCCCGTTCGTCCGCCAGCACGAAAACAGTTCCGTCTATATATTTTTTAATGTGTTGATGTCAATATATTATGCGAAATTGCTGCCATTGCAAAGATATGAATGATAAAAATTCGTACTTATGAAATAGTTTTAGTAATGTTGTGTTCAGACGGGTGTTTCAATAAAGTCAAACGTGATGTCGACTCAATCTGTATCTCTTCTTCTTCTACTTCGTCTTCTACTTCTTGTTCTTCTTCTACTTCTTCTTCTTCGGGTGGTCAGGCTCGCTGACTTGGTTGATGATTGCCATAGTATCACTATTGCGTGGATCGATGCACATGATGTCAATCACTGGATTGTCTTGTCCAGACTCGATTATTTTCCGACCGGAATATTGCTGAGTGCGGCGTTCAAAACAAACAAGCTAACCTTCTTCTTCTACCTTTTCTATTTCTCCTTCTATTTCTTTTCTTCTCCATCCTTTTCTCCTTCTATCCTTACTTCTTCTACTTATATTTCTCCTTATATTTCTTCTTATACTACTGGGGGCACGGGTGGCCCAGTCGTCTAAGGCGTCGCGATTCGCTGTGCAGAGTTGCGTCCCTTGGGCCAGAAACCTATGATTCGGTTATGTTTCTAGGTTTGTCAGCACCATACCCCTTGCTCGTGGGTTTCACCAAAGTGGTAAACGTCTGAGACCTGCATCACTTCGGGCTTTCCTCCCACATTTAGCTGACACGCCGTGATATAACAGGAATACTGCCAAAAGCGGCGTTAAACCCAACTCACTTACTCACTCACTCTTCTACTACTACTTTTTCTATTTCTCCTTCTACTTCTTATCCTTCTACTTCTTCTTCTACTTCTTTTTGTGGCATTTAATGTTTCACGTTACCATGGTTACTGTCATATTGTTAGAAATAGCAGACGTTTTTCAGATGTGTTGTTTTGTTTTGATTTGTTGTTTTCCGTCCTATGATTAATGTCAAGCTATTGTTTGCCTTTCACGCCCAATGGAATCTGTTTCTTCGGATAACCGAGACTAGTTGTCTGGCGTTGACGTTTCAAATAATAATATTAGTTTTCGACCGGTCTTTAGGAGAACGGTGTGTGAGAGCATTGTGCCCTATGAGCAACAAGTACCATCTTTTAACGACTTTTGGTACGACGCGACCGGGGATCGAGCCCCGGACCTTCTGCTCTCCGTGCGGACGCTCTACCAAACAGACTTTAATAAGTAACACGTACATTTATAATGCGCCAAATTACATTCACGACGTGATTGTGCATAGCACTAACATTATTACCTCCTCAATGGATCAGCGAGCACTTGCTTTTACTTCTCAGCCCCCTGGGGAGTATACATCCCAAGCTGCCTCTGAGGCACTGAGTGGATAACAATCACATTGCCATCTCATCCTACCGGGTACCCAGTCACTGCTAATGTGGGGTAATGTGTGTGACCTTTTGATGTATATCTTCATCCACAGTTTTATCTTCTATGATTGTAAAACTAATCCTGTGTATTTCAATATTATATATTGATTTTTTCATCGACCGTGTGGTTATTTCACAATTCCAGCCACCTCGATCACCAATTCTCACTGATCTCAAATGCAATGAAGTGTTATATAGCAGTGTAATTTATTGTTTCTATTGAGATTCACTAGAAGTTAATAGCATTGTGTTGTGACAATGGTTAGTTGTCAGGAATGTATTTCTATCTAATGTAAGCAGTGGTGTGGAAGTTACTATATTTAGATGCTTCAGGAGTCAAGTGTAATCTAAACTAATCAAGCACTGTATAGAAGCTTTATCAGGGGACAAGAGCGTGCTTCTCGCATCTCACATTACATCAAGACCAGTGGTTGTGTGAAGATCATTATTTTCCCCCTGGATATTCAGCCTAGGCCTAGTTTAAGTTTGACCACTGCCGCTGCCAGGTGAATATTCTTTTTAATGACTTATTTGTTATTGCAACTGCTTTTGTACTTTGTACGGTCATTGTATTTGTACTGCCATAGAAGATTGTTCTACCTCTCTATTGTATACTACCATTGTATTACTTTAAAGTCCTTTGTATTTTTATTTGTAGACCTAGTTAATTTTAAAATACAAGTGTTTATTGTATAGCATTTCTTTGCTGTTTGTTGGTCCACACTGACTTTTTGCGTACATATTTCTGGGTTAACTTATTGTTTCAATGTCGAGGTGAACACGTGACAAAAGCCTGACATTCGCGGATCTCAGACGCAATGAAGTGCATGGAACCACGCATACTGCCCTCTGGTGGCGAGTCACAACACGATTACAGACATACAATTCAGTTATGTATTTACCTTTATATTTACAATCAGCGGTTGCTAACAGATGTGAATGAATTGGTATCAATAGATGCATGTAATTACAATGGGAAGAGAATTTACTTAATATATATATTATCAATTTATTTCAAAGTTCATTTCTTAGACAACAGGCTTTACATAAATATTTACCAAGGTTACATAACTGTTTAACATCTTTTATACTTACCATTTGTATAAGTTGCATATTAATTGACATTTCCATTAATATCGTTTAATAAATATTAATCTAAGACAGAATATGGATATTTAATATGAGAACAGTAATTAGATTATTCCTACTGGTTGGCTGCCGATATATGCCCACGAATTGCAGTTCTTCTCAAGTTGTTAATCGCATTCCGCAGAAACGTCTTTTGTACAACTGAGATACTGTTGCAATAGTATTGTGATATTACTACCAGTACCTTAACCTCCACACTATGTTATAATTGTCTAGATATCACAGATTTGCTTAGCACATGTATTTACATGTCCACGTGCCTCCAAGGATTTATGGGAAGGCCACGTATGTTTATGTCTCTACAAGAGTCCATCTGAAGAACATGTATGTCCATATGTATCCGACAGTCCATCTGAAGATAACCTATGTCCGTATGTATCCATGGGTTCATCAGAAGGATGCGTATGTCCACAGTCCAACTGACGCACATGGATGTCCTGATGTCTCAAAGAGTCCCACTGACGCACATGGATATCCATATGTCTCAAAGAGTCCCACTGACGCACATGGATATCCATATGTCTCAAAGAGTCCCACTGACGCACATGGATATCCATATGTCTCAAAGAGTCCCACTGACGCACATGGATGTCCTGATGTCTCAAAGAGTCCCGCTGACGCACATGGATGTCCTGATGTCTCTAGCTGCTGTCCAGACTGAGCAACTCCAGTTCCGGCAGATGGTCCATAAGGTCCACAAACCTGCAAGGACAACAGTACACGTGGTCACGGTGATACATCATCCACATATTCTTGGTAATGACTTTGTAACCCTAATTTGAGTTGTGGTTTGTTTGTTGTTTAACGCCGCACTCAGCAGTATTCCAGCTATATGACGGCTGGTTTATCTTCACGTGGTTTACTTTTGTCATGTCGAGGGAGCATTGTACGTTTATAAGTATAAATAGTTGATGCAAGAGAATACCCAGTATATATTACCCGCCCAAACAGATCCCATTTGGCGCACAGGTCAAACAGCTGTGGAAATAGTAGGGAATGTGGTGTGGGTGTCGTCACTGTACACTCCATCTCATCTTCCTTGGTGAGTGAGTGATTGATTATGGTTCTAAGCCGCTGTTTGCAATATTCCAGCTATATCACAACAGGGGACACCATTGTACCCATGTGAGGAATCAACCCGGGTCTTCGGCATGAATAGCGAACGCTTTATCCACTGGGCTACCCGACCGTCCCCTACCTGGATGAAGCTACAAGGAAGGAATTTAGACATTTCTTCCTTGGTTTGTTCTCCCGAAGACTGAAGTAATTATTCCAGATCAAATGTTCAAGATAGTCAACGATTCATATTACATGGCTCGAAAACCTGAAGTAGCACGAGACTTGAAGATGATATCCCTTTCTAGGCACCAATACAGTGCAAAACCTTGATCAACAAACATTATTTTCGCAAAAAGGTTAAGCACGCTCTACCAGTAGCATCACAACGCACTCACAATATCCATAGCAAAGTTGTTAGCCTATTATTGTATTGCGTGCACACCCTCAGCACCTATCTGATAACGAAACTGTTTCGCGAACACCTGGTGGCATCTTTATATATTTGTGACAGCATTTATCTATTTTATTTTGTCACTATTTTGTTCGGCCTCTCCTTTAAATGTCGTTGATATAACAAGTCAAGAATACTTCCATATCTGTTTCAATAATAAGGAAATACGACCTGCTTCCGGAAGACATCGAGAGACACGGGACGCCTAAAGTAACATTGGAATTACCTTCCTGCACACGGCCCAAATGTACTAACTATCATTTGAGACTTATATGTAGAACATCCCAGTGACGCTATAAAACGCACAATGATGAAAGCAACATTTTGGGATTAAACGTGCAAAGAATGAGCGTTCACTGACTTCCTTAATAAATATAAGCATGATAAGATTCCTGCAATTCCAATTTCAGCTCATACAATAAACATGGTTGCTTAGTTACATTTTGGATCAAATAGAACACTGAAGACTTTTTATAAATAAGAGTTATATTCACATTAATGGAAAATAATTATGAAATAACAACAAACCGTTTTTTATTGTTTTCGCATTCTTCTGTCAACTGTCTGACGCTGAACCGAGAACGCCGGGAGGGACCAGATCTACAAACGAGGAGGGAGTTTCAACAGCGTTGTCATCTGTTTCAATTCTACCAAGGTGTGTCAGTTTCAACTCAATAGTCTACCAATTTGCTGTCACCCAAAAGCACGGTTACGAACATCGGATTCTGGCACGCCTAAGGGACGCAACTCTACTCAGCGACTTGCGGCGCCATTGACAACATAGCCATCACTGTCACCGATCTAAAATGACTTCACTGGATAACAGATGCGTTTTTAAAACTAAACTCAAATTTAAACTGAGAAACTATCAAATCTATAAGTTATTAATATGTACAAACCAGGGAACTAGATGATACAGAAATACAACAAACGGCCACGAATATCATACTCAGTTGGGGAAACATGTCTAGAACTGTTAACTGTTGTACAATGTTGTAACTAGACACATATATTGTATTGGGAACTTTAACGAGGTCTACTTACTGAAACAATGTGGCGACACTTGAAGCAATGTGTTTCCAAGCAATGTCCGAGGATTTCCAACACTGCAAAACAAACACCCCACGTCTTTAAAAGGCAATTAGACGTGATACACATCAGGAACAGAATTTATAGATGTCAACTTCTTAATTATGAGGAACACAACGTTTCCTCGGGTTATGGAGGAGTTCCTCATAATAAAGAAGTTCCTTAACCACGTCATGTTGAGATAGCGTTGTTGACTCTCAGTGTCCCGATACCTAATAACTAGCCTTGTTGTATAGAGAGGCCACCTTTCTTTGGAAAAGTACAATAAAATGTAAAATGTGTTTGTATAACAGAAACACAAATTGGGAATATGTATCTCAAAAATATTGTTTAATTGCATTTCTTTCCAACCTAAAAATTCGGGGATATTCAACCTCAAATGAACTCAAAACAAAATGTATTAGTCAGTTTCATACGTCTTTGCGTTTTCATAGTAAAACCAAAAAAGGTTGAGTCACACAAACTGTTGTTGTACCCGTCTGTGATTATGTGACAACAGCGTATATGCAGCTCGCGACTTACCTCTTTCAGTTTTTCTGTTAAAACCGCACTCTCCATGTCGAGTTCTTCTAGCATCTTCTGAAACTGAAGCAACGTTTCCTGGTGTTCCAAATACACCCTGAAAGACAAAACATATCACCGTGGCATTGACACACAGATACATCAGATGACATGGTTACATGCAGATAACGTGGCCCTTCAAATGTTGATTGTTGTAAACGGTAAAAATTGAATAAACGATCCGAGATCGTTACTTCCAGAGGTTTTGTTTGTTGTTTAACACCGCACTCAGCAATATTCCAGTTTTTAGACGGCGGTCTGTAAATAATCGAGTCTGGACCAGACAATCCAGTGACTGATATCATGAGCATCGATCCACGCAATTGGGATACGATGACATGCATCAACCAAGTCAGCGAGCCTGACCACCCGACCCCGTTAGTCGCCTCTTACGACAAGCGTAGTCGCCTTTTAAGGCAAGCATGAGTTGCTGAAGACCTATTCTATCCCGGATCTTCACAGGTCACTTCCAGAAGTTGAAGAAGGGTATTGTCACAGACCTGTCACAGAACTGTCATAGATATGTCACAGACCTGTAATTGAACTGTCACGGACGCGTAATTGAACTGTCACAGAACCGCCATAGATATGTCACAGGCTTGTAATTGAACCGTCACGGACGCGTAGTTGAACCGTCACAGAACCGCCATAGTGTCTGTGTCTGTTCTTGGTGACAGTGAAGGTTTTACGACAATGCCGTTTCGTATCATATACAGAAAACTATAAATTCAACTTACCCCTTGCATTCCTTGAACTTTAAATGTGATGGGTGCTTGTGATGCATCTGATGATGTTGCCAGTGAGATATGCTTTGCTGGCACAGCTGTTCCAAGTCCCGCCTGGAAACAAAGGGTACCAGTGAGCAGGGAGAGCCTGATCATTCATCACGTAGGAAGTAAAACAAAGATTAGGGGCGAGGGACTGAATTGTGCCCATTGCACTACTCGGCATCGTTATGTTGTCTACTCGCCGGTGTCCGCCTGGAGTCTCTGATCACATGGATGTTTACTTCATGTATGTGGACAGATGACGGAAGGGGAAATACAGAGTTAAATATTGCCAGACACTACCGGACATTAATCTGATTCTGTAATAGAAAGGAAATGAATATTGACTGGTGAAAATGTAAGATTTGGCCTGGTACTTAGTATTTTTAAGGCCAACCTTTCATTTGTCCTTTCAAGCCAGCATTCCTTGTTTTCTGAAAACCAAGAGAGCTACAGCCCATTACTGTTGTCATGACAACGTTAGCAATCCATAGCCACCATTCATACACAGAACATACATAAACTCCATCTGATTTTGACTTCTCGACGTCATATTCTATGAAATGTTTAAAGGAACATAGGCTATATATGTACGTTGAAGGATGGTCCCTCACACAAGATGGTTACCGTTATATTGTTTCGTCATCAACTTTCAAGGATGTTGAGGCGTTTTCAGGGAATGCATTATAGCGGTGAAGTGTACACATACGTTCACACGTCATCCGGATAGTTTTTGTTTTATTCTCCTGTTTACAACCCACCTGTCCTTCTTGTGCATCAACTCGTCACATTCTGACAGCGGCAGCGAACTTCTTCTCCTCCGGATTCTTTGCAAAATAGTTTTTGTTTCTTCAAAAATGCTTTTTAACATAATGGGACTGAAACAAATACAAACGTAATGAGTTGAAATACATTCTACCTAATCATACAACTTTGACAAATTGACATTTTCCTTTGTAAAGAAATAAAGTTATAAACGCTTGGATATGCATATAATGTTTTCATGATGGCTGTTAATAAAACACGTTGAGTTAATGAAATTATGATCACATAAAATAATTGAATAAAAAAAATGTCAGTACCAGTTTAAAAGATCCGAGGTATCAGAGATGATGGGTGATGATTCTAAATGTTCGTTCCATTTTTTCCTAAATCTACATATTTCATTCTTCAGTAGACAAAGTTTTCGATGAATCTGGAGAAGAGAATAATGAACATTATAAACCAGATTTTGGGGTGATTACTATTCGTCATGATAATATACGCAGTATACATAAATCTACTGAAACTAAAAACATTTACAGTTATACGATGTGCAAGCTGTATGATGGTGATGACTGGGTCCCGCCATTTTGTTTGAAAGAAATGCAAGTTATATGAGAGGTGGAATCTGATTGGACAATAGGAGGGGCATAGAAGGGATATAACTCGTAAAAGCCACTGGTGGCGCTACTAACGAGCCCAGAAATTCCAGCCTTGTTCAGCAAGGGTGGAAACTGGACTTTCAGAGTCAGTTAACTCCCTTGCCTCGGGAAGATAAGAACAACTATGTCCGGGAGAAGGCGGATGTTTCAAATGACAGGTTCAACATTAGTTCCCCGAGAACGGGAAGCCATAGTTGCAAAACTGTGTGTCACAGTGTTCCAAAGGTTGAGCGAGTACTGAGTGTTCGTGTGTACTTACTGTACATACTGACTGTTTGGCTTTGTTTGTGTTCTGGGATATGGTGGAGTCATATTCGCGACTGATTTCCTTTCTGGTAGATTCGTAAGATTTCATCATTTCAAAGCGGGACTGCTTTTCCTGACAGGTTTCCGATAGAACTCTGAACTTCTTTTCAACTCTTTCCAACAAATGTTTCAAGTAGGACCTGAACAAACAAATACGGGTTAGAATAAAGGTTTCTCCTGACAACGTTTAAAACGTACTTGGATTACAAATTACATTTGGCGTAAAACACAATTTGGTGATGAAAGTTTCATAAATGCATCACTAATGACAGTGGTTCCCCAAAATACGGTTTGTCTCGTCCTCTCACAGGAAGGAATTGTTTTGAAGAAGTGACACACATATTCAAACAAATATCCCGTCCCGCCCCTATTCTATGGGCAATTGATGGGCCATGAGTTATGGAGAGAAAGGTTCCTACCACAAAGACAGCTCTGCTCGCTTTTGGCCTTTCTCCACCCTAGCCGATGTCATTACTTGAAGTAGAAGATGGAAGACAAACACACATATTTTGGACGCAGTCTTCAGGTCAGAATCTAGAGATGGACGGACGCCGAACGTAGGCTCTTGGCCTGGAAAACAGAACAAAGCACATTCATGTAGCTCCTGGCTTTCCAGGGAATTTACAAAGAGTATTTTTAGTAGTAATGTTATAGGATCTATTTGTTTGTTTGTTGTTGCAATATTCCTGCTATATGACGGCTGTCTGTAAATAATCGAGTCTGGACCAGACAATCCAGTGATCGACATCATGGGCATTGATCCACGCAATCGGGATACGATGATATGCATCAACCAATGTCAGCGAGGCTTACCACCCGATCCTGTTAGTCGCCTCTTACAACAAGCATAGTCACCTTTTACGACAAGCATTGGTTGCTGAAGACCTATTCTACCCTATTCTATTCTATAGGATCAATAAACACACAGTAAAATGTTTAGAGATGACGACAATATATGAACTGAAGTACCAAGCCATGGAAAATAGACCAATCATGTCATGCTTCGCGGAATTATATTGCGAATGGTGAAGTACCCAAAGTGCGGTTGGAGCAACTCTCCTCCTCCGACTCGTCTTTGTTGACTAGAATGATTGGTTCTTCCTCGTCTGCATTGACTGCACTCAATGGATAACTAGCATTGACCACCTCCCATAGACGCTGGTCATGATGGAAGAGCATTTGGTGCGGAGCTGGAACCTCCGTTACCATGGCAATGGCTTCCTGAAGCTCGGACAAGCTGAAACAGAGAAGTTTAAAAAAATCCCCACACTGAATAATAGTACGTCCGCGCCACAAGGTTGAGCTGTGATGCACGGCACACGTAAAACAAAATCTTATGTATGATGGCGCCGTTGTACATAACAATCTCAGCACGACGACTGTCGTAAATCTGGAAGTAACGACAACCTTTGCGCTAAGATCGCCATGGACAACAGCTCCCATATTGGTAACGATTGAGAAGGCTTACACTGAGCTGACTGCCATTCTAAATAATTCCAACTTCATTAATATCGATTCGGGCACAAGGTATATACAAGGATTTAGATTAAGAAAACATACGTCTTCAACTGACGCAAGGACGCAAAAAGGTAAACAATGTGTTCCAGAATATGCAAGAACAATATCTCCCGACGTCCTAAACTATGTTAAGGTTCCAAAAGGTATTGTTTTGGTCCTTCTTTCTTGAAGAACTGAAACATATTCAGTTTCCAAGCAACCCTCATCCGCAAGCAGACAAATCCATGAACATATATTGGGTGGACCAGCTGGAACAATACGAACCAGAACTAGCTTCAAAGACCGTCATGCGACTCTTACTCAGAAGCTTTTGGATCAAGGTTACAACATTCAAGGCCTCAGTAAAGCTTTCAAAATCGATGTTCGATGCAATTCCCTATTGTGACTTGTACCATATGTTGCCGGGTTTTTCAGATGAACATTTGACTTGCCTTTGCATGTGTTTGTGACGGGTGCCACCGGTGGGCAGGATACGCTCACCTTTTCGCGAACACCTGGTATCATCACTATTTGATAGTGATTCCTAAACACATGCTCATGATATAGTCGGAATCGTACAATCGACAAATTCCTATTGGATATGGAACGGATTTGTCGCTTTATTTATGTGGGAGGTGACAATACCTTGGTGATGTAGAGGTATATAAGGTGTGAAGTGACAATACCTTAAAAAAGCTTGGTGATGTAGAGGTATATATGTTGTGAAGTGACAATACCTTGGTGATGTAGAGGTATATAAGGTGTGAAGTGACAATACCTTAAAAAAGCTTGGTGATGTAGAGGTATATATGTTGTGAAGTGACAATACCTTAAAAAAGCTTGGTGATGTAGAGGTATATATGTTGTGAAGTGACAATACCTTGGTTATGTAGAGGTATATAAGGTGTGAAGTGACAATACCTTGGTGATGTAGAGGTATATATGTTGTGAAGTGACAATACCTTGGTGATGTAGAGGTATATAAGGTGTGAAGTGACAATACCTTGGTGATGTAGAGGTATATATGTTGTGAAGTGACAATACCTTAAAAAAGCTTGGTGATGTAGAGGTATATATGTTGTGAAGTGACAATACCTTGGTTATGTAGAGGTATATAAGGTGTGAAGTGACAATACCTTGGTGATGTAGAGGTATATATGTTGTGAAGTGACAATACCTTGGTGATGTAGAGGTATATAAGGTGTGAAGTGACAATACCTTGGTGATGTAGAGGTATATATGTTGTGAAGTGACAATACCTTAAAAAAGCTTGGTGATGTAGAGGTATATATGTTGTGAAGTGACAATACCTTGGTGATGTAGAGGTATATAAGGTGTGAAGTGACAATACCTTGGTGATGTAGAGGTATATAAGGTGTGAAGTGACAATACCTTGGTGATGTAGAGGTATATATGTTGTGAAGTGACAATACCTTAAAAAAGCTTGGTGATGTAGAGGTATATATGTTGTGAAGTGACAATACCTTGGTTATGTAGAGGTATATAAGGTGTGAAGTGACAATACCTTGGTGATGTAGAGGTATATATGTTGTGAAGTGACAATACCTTGGTGATGTAGAGGTATATAAGGTGTGAAGTGACAATACCTTAAAAAAGCTTGGTGATGTAGAGGTATATATGTTGTGAAGTGACAATACCTTAAAAAAGCTTGGTGATGTAGAGGTATATATGTTGTGAAGTGACAATACCTTGGTTATGTAGAGGTATATAAGGTGTGAAGTGACAATACCTTGGTGATGTAGAGGTATATATGTTGTGAAGTGACAATACCTTGGTGATGTAGAGGTATATAAGGTGTGAAGTGACAATACCTTAAAAAAGCTTGGTGATGTAGAGGTATATATGTTGTGAAGTGACAATACCTTAAAAAAGCTTGGTGATGTAGAGGTATATATGTTGTGAAGTGACAATACCTTGGTGATGTAGAGGTATATAAGGTGTGAAGTGACAATACCTTGGTGATGTAGAGGTATATATGGTGTGAAGTGACAATACCTTGGTGATGTAGAGGTATATATGTTGTGAAGTGACAATACCTTAAAAAAGCTTGGTGATGTAGAGGTATATATGGTGTGAAGTGACAATACCTTGGTGATGTAGAGGTATATAAGGTGTGAAGTGACAATACCTTGGTGATGTAGAGGTATATATGTTGTGAAGTGACAATACCTTAAAAAAGCTTGGTGATGTAGAGGTATATATGGTGTGAAGTGACAATACCTTGGTTATGTAGAGGTATATAAGGTGTGAAGTGACAATACCTTGGTGATGTAGAGGTATATATGTTGTGAAGTGACAATACCTTGGTGATGTAGAGGTATATAAGGTGTGAAGTGACAATACCTTAAAAAAGCTTGGTGATGTAGAGGTATATATGTTGTGAAGTGACAATACCTTAAAAAAGCTTGGTGATGTAGAGGTATATATGTTGTGAAGTGACAATACCTTGGTGATGTAGAGGTATATAAGGTGTGAAGTGACAATACCTTGGTGATGTAGAGGTATATATGGTGTGAAGTGACAATACCTTGGTGATGTAGAGGTATATATGTTGTGAAGTGACAATACCTTAAAAAAGCTTGGTGATGTAGAGGTATATATGGTGTGAAGTGACAATACCTTGGTTATGTAGAGGTATATAAGGTGTGAAGTGACAATACCTTGGTGATGTAGAGGTATATATGTTGTGAAGTGACAATACCTTGGTGATGTAGAGGTATATAAGGTGTGAAGTGACAATACCTTAAAAAAGCTTGGTGATGTAGAGGTATATATGTTGTGAAGTGACAATACCTTAAAAAAGCTTGGTGATGTAGAGGTATATATGTTGTGAAGTGACAATACCTTGGTGATGTAGAGGTATATAAGGTGTGAAGTGACAATACCTTGGTGATGTAGAGGTATATATGGTGTGAAGTGACAATACCTTGGTGATGTAGAGGTATATATGTTGTGAAGTGACAATACCTTAAAAAAGCTTGGTGATGTAGAGGTATATATGGTGTGAAGTGACAATACCTTGGTGATGTAGAGGTATATATGGTGTGAAGTGACAATACCTTGGTGATGTAGAGGTATATATGGTGTGAAGTGACAATACCTTGGTGATGTAGAGGTATATATGGTGTGAAGTGACAATACCTTGGTGATGTAGAGGTATATATGGTGTGAAGTGACAATACCTTGGTGATGTAGAGGTATATATGTTGTGAAGTGACAATACCTTAAAAAAGCTTGGTGATGTAGAGGTATATATGGTGTGAAGTGACAATACCTTGGTGATGTAGAGGTATATATGGTGTGAAGTGACAATACCTTGGTGATGTAGAGGTATATATGGTGTGAAGTGCCGCATCTTCAGCACTGATGATGGTGAACTTCTTCAGACTTTTCAGCCTCTGCACAGAATACTCCAGGGTCTGGAATGTCCACTGCCGATTCCGATCTGCTTCTAACAGACCAGCTATAATCGACACTGACCTCTCTCGAATAGTTCTGAAAACAACAAGGACATCCATAGTATATTATCAGTCGAACAACCCCTGGTGGCATCCTCAAGTACATAACCAGCTCTTTGTCAGGGTTCAAAGTTACCGCTTGTCCGCAATTCCCTATTTTGTGCCCACGTTTTTTTTCGTGTGAACAATTGACTTGCCTTTGCATGTGTTTGTGACAGGGTGCCACCCGGTATTCTCACCGGGATAACGATTCCTAGACACATGCTTATGATATAGTAATGTTTAAGATTTATATCAGCAAAATAACACCAACTTCACCCAAACGACGCTTCCCTTTACACATGTCCCCCTTTCTAGTCACCATTAGGGTCAGTCGGGTAGCCTAGTGGTTAAAGAGTTCGCTCGACACGTTGAAGACCCGGGTTCGATTCCCGACATGGGTACAATTTGTGAAGCCCATTTCTGGTGTCCCCCGCCGTGATATTGCTGGAGTATTGCTAAAAGCGGCGTAAAACCATACTCACTCACTCATTACCTCCGTACACACGAAACATGTCGATTAATAATCCGTCCCTAGTATTCGTAATAACTTATTTGAATTTGTTTACGTTTTAATTTAGAATTCGGGACGTCATGCATGACCGAACATAAAGCCTCTTCTCTGCTAAGCCGTGTGTTGAATACGGCTACAGAATGTCTTCAAGATATGTCAAACCTGTTGTACAGACGTTACTCAATAGACTCTGACACAGTTTGAATACCATTTGACTCCTTTAACAGACGAGTCATGCATACCCTACAGAACATACACATACCCTACAGAACATACACATACCCTACAGAACATACACATACCCTACAGAATAAATAATGCCTTGGAAAATTCGTTTGTCTTGTTTGAATTTTTTTTCCACAAGAACCTCAAAGCATATTTATTTATTTAACCTCAGTATCCTTTCACAGCCCCCGTGAGGCTGTTTGCGCAATGAAGAGATACCTTTGAAAGATAAAAATCCAACATGCGTCATGTTTGACTTGCTAAAGTTCTTCCTTGTTGTTGTACACAAATGAACATCACTTAGAACGTCGATGAGTGAGTGAGTGAGTGAGTATGGTTTTACGCCGCTTTTAGCAATATTCCAGCAATATCGCGGCGGGGGACACCAGAAATGGGCTTCACACATTGTACCCATGTCGGGAATCGAACCCGGGTCTTCGGCGTGACGAGCGAACGCTTTAACCACTAGGCTACCCGACCGCCCGAACGTCGATGAAGACAGACGTTCATCAGCATACTTTACTTCAGCAGGGATGAAGAGATAGAGTAATTGAGGAATGGTTCATGGGGGTATGTTGTTTGTTTGTTTGTTGTTTAACGCCGCACTCAGCAATATTCCAGTTATATGACGGCGGTCTGTACATAATCGAGTCTGGACCAGACAATTCAGTGATTGACATCATGTGCATCAATCCACGCAATTTGTATACGATGACATGCATCGGTGTGTGTTAGTGTGTGTGTGTGTGTGCATGGGGTGTGTGTATGTGTGTGTGAGGTGGGGTGGGGGGTCGGGGGTGGGGGTGGTGTTAGGGGTGTGTGTGTGGGGGGGTGTATGTGTGTGGGGTGGGTGGCTAGGGTGTGTGTTAGGTGTGTGTGTGTGAGGGGGTGGGGGGTCGGGGTGGGGGGTTGCTAGGGGTGTGGGGGGTGTATGTGTGTGAGGTGGGGGGGTGTTAGCGGTGTGGGGGGGTGTATGTGTGGGGGTTGGGTGGCTAGGGTGTGGGGGGGTGTATGTGTGTGAGGTGGGGTGGGGGGTCGGGTGGGGGTGGTGTTAGGGGTGTGTGGGGGGGGGGTATGTGTGATGGGTGGGTGGCTAGGGTGTGTGTTAGGGGTGTGTGTGATGTGTATGTGTGTGTTCGGGCTGGGGGTGCTGGGTGACTGAGTGTTTTACCACAGTCTGCATCATGTCATCTCTATCACTGTGGCATGCGGTCGTGTCTCGACCAGGCAAACAGGTGCTTGACGTGCAAAGTCCTTGCAACAGAGGGTGACGGGTGACGGATGACGTCATTACTCACGGAGACAGATTGCATGTGTCTGGTAGCGTCCTCTTCCACCTTATGTCTTCAGAGGGTGACCGCTGTTCTCCTGCTATCGTGCCTGCTGGCTTGCACGTGATCATCATGAACCTACAGAACAGACACACATCACTGTAACCAGCACGTTCACGTCTCCATACCTACGACTTGAATCATAAGCCAGCACGGAACTATTATAACCCGTCATCATTCAAACCGAGGTCCATTCAAACTGCATTCTCGGATCCCTGGGGAGTATACACCACCTCGCCCCAGTGTTTCCTTTCCCGCGGGGAGAACACAGACACATTTCGAGCACAGTTACAAAAGGAGACGAAGGGCAGAAGTCGTAGACGATTTTGCGATCCCACCCACCTACTCTCCGCCGCCAGCGTAACGTCACCTGACTCATGACAGACGGATACTGATGTAATTTAAAAGCACAGTTGTCACGACATAATAGTCACTGTTCCCGGGTTTGTCCAGATCTGATGAAAAATACATGCATAGGCGGCTGATTAATGGTCAAGTTTTGTAGCTTGTTAAACGTTCACTCACATGACATTCCTGTTGTTGCGGACGCCGCCGTAAGGTTTGAAGGGAATGTTGCCGGTGCAGGCGTGGTAGATGGTGACGCCAAAACTCCACAGGTCTGCAGACTCGTCAAACACGGTGTTGCCACCGCTGCCCATGAAGGCCTTCTCGTACATCGCTGGATGCTGATAATAATAATAATAATAATTATAATAATAATAATAATAATTGAGATAACACTTTCTTTGTAAAGTACAGATTCTCGTACTTTTTTTTTGGGGGGGGGGGGGGGGGGGGGAATGAAAGTCCGACAACTGGTAGTCTAGATCACGTACTTTGTGTACCCCTTAGACAAGTGTAAATTGGCACGGCTCCCATTGCCGAAAGCTGTGATCCAGATGAGGTGAGGTGAGGTGAAACTGGGTTTTACGTCGCGTCCAAGATTATTGCACATATATATATATATACGTGCCGATTTATAGTGCTAGCCCACTGAGATACCATGCCGCAGTTTAACATGAATACCCAAATCAGACACAGTATACTGACTCCGAGCCGACCAGTCCTTGTTTTAGCCCCTTAATGCCGAGCGCCAGACAGGGTAACAACAAGTACCCTCGGCATTGTGTGTCCAGAACTCTTTCTGTTCCTTGGGAAACAAGAGCTCGTTCATGGATCCTACATCACTATACAAATGTACCGCGGACAATATACTTCACGGGGCTGCGTGTGCCAGTTAGCTGTGGCGTCAGTAAAAGGGATATTCTTTCCACACATCACGACAGATTTAAGACAGATGCAGAACTTGTGACAGTATATTATCAAGATAGATAGGTTGTGCTGATAGCCATTAGGTTTCTCTTCACATTTCAATTAGGGGGACTACTTTTATAACCCGGACATTTCTAGGTCTCAACTCTGTCTAGACACCATTTGGGGCAGTGGGGTAGCCTAGTGGTTAAAGCGTTCGCGCGTCACGCTGAAGACCTGGGTTCGATTCCCCACATAGGCGCAATGTGTGAAGCACCTTTCTTGTGTCCCCCGCCGTGATATTGCTGGAGTATTGCTAAAAGCCGCGTAAAACCATACTCACTCACTAGACACCATTACTGAATCATCACAAAAAGTATAAGATCATCAGAATGAAGACGCACCAGGTACTCCTCGGTCCCAGCGAGAGACCGAAACTGTCCATTTTCGTGTTCAACACTCTTGCTGGCCCCGAAGTCAGCCAACTTGTACACCACACTGTCAGAACAACAAAATACTGAAAATAATTACACGCATACGTTCATGTGTTCCACGTAATTAGAACCGCTCCATTCTAATATAATTCAAAATATAATAGAGTAACTACGTTTATAACGAACACTCTTATAACGAACTGACCGAAATAACGAACTTACTTTTTTTAGTCCAGGCCATTTGTTGTATATATGTTGTATATATACTTATAACGAACTACGGTCATTACGAACTAAAATTTATGATCCCTTTGAGTTCGTTATAACCGTAGTTTACTGTATAATCAATACAAAAATGTGTGTTGTGACGTGAACATGTACAGAATTGAATAATGTCTACAATTGTTAATTAAAAAAATATATTGTCATATAAATGTTTCAGTTCATAAACAAGAGGCTTCAACAATCAGGGCCCCGTTTCACAAAGCGATGTTAGCACTATGGCCATCATAACCTCGTGTTAAAGTGGGTTAGACGCGTTTATCTCTAAAACCCGCGCGGCTACCACAGGGCGTTACAAACCTTGAATCTGGCTTGACGTCTCTCAGGATGTTGCCCGGCTTGATGTCGCGGTGCACAAAGCCACGTTGCCGGAGGTACTTCCATCCCTGGCCTTCATGAAACAGAAATTTAGTACCAAATTACAACATATCTTACCATGATAACCGATCGCAGGAACGGTTCTTGGGGGCGATATGTTCACAGCAGCACCGTCAGTCTGAACAACATGTGTGGCGTCTCCATGGCAATGTGGATGTACACCCTCTAGCGCCTAACAGGCAGTTTGGGTTGTATACTCCCAAGGGAGCTGAGAATGATTCTGCACACTGATCCAGTGACCGGGATAGTAAAAGCGCTTTGAGCATGTCCCTGAGTGGTGTGGAAATATGCGCAATATAAATGGCCTATTTTTTATTATTTATTATTTACAGATTGAAGTAATTTATTGTTGTTGGGTTTTTTAAATTATCATTATTATTATTATTATTATTATTATTATTATTATTATTATTATCATTATTTCTACTACTTACATGTGTCATTTAAAAAGATGAGGAACTGCTGGTCATCCAGACCGTGCATGTTCTCTGGTTGCTGGAGAAAGGAGTGCAGGCTTCCCCCGGAGCAGTACTCCATCACAAGAACTCCTCGACCTGTGCCACACTGACAAAACATCCCGCATTGAAACACATGGACAACACACAGCCCTGTTTCATCTACGAAACAAGAACGAGGTCTCTATGGCAGTCACTTGGTTTCCGGAAATTGAACTGAACTGTCAATAGAATAACCTAGGACCCCTATGTCACCACTTGAACTGTCAATAGGACAACCTACGAACCCCCATGGCATTATTTGAACTGTCAATAGGACAACCCAGGACCTCCATGTCACCATTGGAACTGTCAATAGGACAACCTAGGACCTCCATGGCATTATTGGAACTGTCAATAGGACAACCTAGGACCTCCATGTCACCATTGGAACTGTCAATAGGACAACCTAGGACCTCCATGGCATTATTGGAAATGTCAATAGGACAACCTAGGACCTCCATGGCATTATTGGAACTGTGAATAGGACAACCTACAACCTTCATGGCATTATTGGAACTGTCAATAGGACAACCTACAACCTCCATGGCATTATTGGAACTGTCAATAGGACAACCTAGGACATCCTTTGCATTATTGGAACTGTCAATAGGACAACCTAGGACCTCCATAGCATTATTGGAACTGTCAATAGGACAACCTAGGACCTCCATGGCATTATTGGAACTGTCAATAGAACAACCTACGACCTACATGGCATTATTGGAACTGTCAATAGGACAACCTACGACCTCCATGGCACTGTCAATAGGACAACTTAGGACCCCCATGTCACCACTGGAACTGTCAATAGGACAACCTAGGGATCCCCATGTCACCACTTGAACTGTCAATAGGACAACCTAGGACCCCTACGTCACCACTGGCACTGTCAATAGGACAACCTGGGGCCCCCATGTCACCACTGGCACTGTCAATAGGACAACCTAGGACCCCCATGTCACCACTGGAACTGACAATAGGACAACCTTGGACCCCCATGTCACCACTGGCACTGTCAATAGGACAACCTAGGACCCCCACGTCACCACTGGCACTGTCAATAGGACAACCTAGGACCTCCATGTCACCACTGGCACTGTCAATAGGACAACCTAGGACCCCCATGTCACCACTGGAACTGTCAATGGGACAACCTAGGACCCCCATGTCACCAATGGAACTGTCAATAGGACAACCTAGGACCCCCATGTCACCACTGGAACTGTCAATAGGACAACCTAGGACCCCCATGTCACCACTGGCACTGTCAATAGGACAACCTAGGACCCCCATGTCACCACTGGAACTGTCAATAGGACAACCTAGGGACCCCCATGTCACCACTGGAACTGTCAATAGGACAACCTAGGACCCCTATGTCACCATTGGCACTGTCAATAGGACAACCTAGGACCCCCATGTCACCACTTGAACTGTCAATAGGACAACCTAGGACCCCCATGTCACCACTGGAACTGTCAATAGGACAACCTAGGACCCCCATGTCACCACTGTCACTGTCAATAGGACAACCTAGGACCCCCATGTCACCACTGGAACTGTCAATAGGACAACCTAGAACCTCCATGTCACCATTGGCACTGTCAATAGGACAACCTAGGACCCCCATGTCACCACTGGCACTGTCAATAGGACAACCTAGGACCCCCATGTCACCACTGGCACTGGCAATAGGACAACCTAGGACCCAAAGTATAGCCCTAGTTCCCGTCTACACACTTACTGTCATTATGATCACTTCTTCTATACTAGTATTTAACATAGCACCGTCATTCGACAGGGACTATATCAGAACGACACCCACTAGAGAATGTGTTTCACAATGATAAAGACATTCTTATATTACTTTTTTTTATAAATGAATAGTAACAAAAACGTACTCACCTCCTCTTCTCGTCGAAAATAGCCCACAATGTTTCGATGGGACATTCTCGTCAAAGCTTCAACTTCTCGAACGTTTTCTTGAGAGTTGCTCCATTGGGCATCCTTGAAGATCTTCAACGCATGGGTTTCGCCTGTCGCCTTTCAAAGACAATAGAACGTAAACTGCTGGAGATTCCCAACACGAGTGACATGCAACAAGAATCACTGTGTATCCGATACCGACATCATGTTGCGATACCGTATACAAGTCACGAACAACGTCCAGGCAAAAGGGATGTTCATATTCACTTCTCTGTCACACCTCTGTCACACGTCTCTGTCACACATCTCTGTCACACATCTGTCACACATCTCTGTCACACATCTCTGTCACACATCTGTCACACATCTCTGTCGCACATCTCTGTCACACCTCTGTCACACCTCTGTCACACCTGTCACACACCTCTGTCACACATCTCTGTCACACCTCTGTCACACATCTCTGTCACACCTCTGTCACACACCTCTGTCTCACACCTCTGTCACACACCTCTGTCACACACCTCTGTCACACATCTCTGTCACACCTCTGTCACACACCTCTGTCACACTACCAAAACAGAAGCATCACAATCAAAACCTACATTGTTACAGTGATGACACCAGGTGTTCGCAAAACGTATGCCCCGCCCTATAGCTACCATCCACCGTGAAAGACAGAGTTACAAGCAGTAGATGACCGAGTCTAAAAAGGAATACAGCCACTGACGGCTTTACACGGGTTCCTGTTCCCGAAGGCGAGGAACCCTCTAATGACCTTCTATACACAGCCAATATCCACTTAGTCTTACTTTTTCAACGCCGATGAAAACGTCACTCGAGGCTCCCGTGCCGATTTTATTTTTATTGAAGTAAAAATGCCTTGTGGTTTGCCCAATAGAGCCGTCTGTGACACGAAGCATTGTATGCAGTTGTAGAAGTTCCAACACGATGTACATGCATGTCAGGGCGTCGCCGACGTTGATCCTTAGCAGCATTTATTGCACCTCCTCAACCGCAGAGGAGAGTAGTCTTGACAGTGTGCACCAAGCACAGCAAGACCTTCACTTCAGCTCGGACGTCATCATTGGATTGGCTGAAAATATATAATCCATTCCAATCACGCATTCCTTGCAAATCAGTATGAAAATGATCGACGATTGACCATCAATATGAAACGAATGTTGTCTCAGAAACACACATACACATTGCCTTTCATTTCATTTACGAAGGGACCCGTGAAGATCCGGGATAGACCCATGCTTGCCGTAAAAGGCGACTATGCTTGTCGTAAGAGGCGACTAACGGGATCGGTTGGTCAGGCTCGCTGACCTGGTTGATGTCTGTCATCGTATCCCAATTGTGTGGATCGATGCTCATGATATCAATCACTGGATTGTCTGGTGCAGAGTCGATTATATTCAGACCGCCGTCATATAGCTGGAATATGTCTGAGTGCGGCATTAAACAACAAACAATTCATTTACGAAGGTGAATGTGACGATCGGGAGCTTATCAGCAAGAGAGAGTGAGTGAGTGAGTTGGGTTTAACGCCGCTTTTATATCACGGGACAACGTTATCTAGGAGGAAAGTCGAATTGATTCGCAACCATCGAGCCGACAGAACAAGGATCTTAATCGGAACCAGTCAGGGACTCTGACTCTAACATACCCAATCTTACCGGAAAGAAAATGACGAATGTGCTATTCATGTAAAACGCCCGTTTTTCCGCATTCGGAATAGATATGGACGTAACAATGGTCTTATTATAGCCTCAAATAGAAGTAGTTACGATTATAGATTATGTTATCTTCATCTGTTATGTATGTGTGTGGGGCGGTGGGGGGGTAGCCTAGTGGTTGTGTGAAGCCCATTTCTTGTGTCCCCCGCCGTGATATTGCTGGAAACGGCGTAAAACAATACCCACTCGCTCAACAAACAGTATGTACATGGTTCGCTCATGGGCGTGTGTCATGAACACTGATGCTATATGTTGAACTAGATTTTGGTCAGATGAACATCTGAACAGATTTTCTTCGTCCATCTAGATTGATGAGACTGCTCACGGAGTGGTCAGGGCGATGTATTAGCCTACTGCTTACAGTGTTCGCCGGTCACGCCGATAACCTAGGTTCGATTCCTGGTCACACGGGTGGTATGCTTGAAACGATGTGTAGATTTAAATGCACCCGTTTCTTAGAAACCGTGTCTGATATTGTCCATAATACATATTAGTCAGTTCGTAGATATGTATTAAAATCATGTCCATCCACTGAGTGAGTGAGTGAGGGAGGGAGTTAGATTTAACGCCGCTTTGAACCGTACTCCAGCTATATCACGGCGTCTCAGTTTGATGTGGGGAAACATCCCGAAGAGAGGCCGGTCTCAGACGTTTACCACTTAGTTAAAAACCCACGAGTACGGGTATAGTGCTGACAAACCCACGAGTACGGGTATGGTGCTGACAAACCCACGAGTACGGGTATGGTGCTGACAAACCCATGAGTACGGGTATGGTGCTGACAAACCCACGAGTACGGGTATGGTGCTGACAAAACCACGAGTACGGGTGTGGTGCTGACAAACCCACGAGTACGGGTATGGTGCTGACAAACGCAAAACTATAATCAGGACAAATCTGGGATTCGAACGCATGATTTTTTGTCAGGACCAAGGGACGCAACTCTGCACAACACCTAATCGCCAGCACACAAAGTCAGCAATCTAACCCACTCAGCCACCGAGGCTTCCATAAACTGGTAGTCTAGATCACGTACTTTGAGTACCCCTCTGACAAGTGTAAATTGGTACGACTCCGAGAATCTGTACGTTGCTAAGAAAGTGTTATCCCAAATATAACATTTGTTACATTTGACCACTTTCTAAATGGCATTGTGTATTCAAAGATTTCGGCCTTGGGGGCCGTGCCAATTTACACTTGTCAGAGGGGTACTCAAAGTACGTGTTCTAGACTACCAGTTGTCGGACTTTCATTTTTGTGGAAGCCTCTGTGGCTGAGTGGGTTAGATCCCTGACTTTGTGTGCTGGCGATTAGGCGCCTCACTCTGGCAGTGTGACTTTCGAATCCTGGACAGGACTCAACCCAAAAAAACACGAGAATCTGAACTTTACTAAGAAAGTGTTATCCCAAATATAACATTTGTTATGCTTTAGAAGTTTCCTTTTTTAGTCACCAGTTCTATTTAAAGTTTTGAAAAAACATCTCGTTAACCATGTACTTCTAAAAGAGGCGTGCAAGGCTGGTCACAAAGTTTCCCTGAAACTGGCCCATTTTCAGTTTCGAATATACTTTCGCTTTCACTTTTAGAGAACAAATGCAAACCCTATGTTAATACTCTACAGATAAGAGGCGAGGGTGTAACCAAGTGGTTAAAGCGTTCGATCGTCACAACGAAGGCCCGGGTTCTATTCCCCCCTGGGAACAATGTGTAAATAAAAGCGACAAACCTTCGATATTCATAAGAAGATTCTGCCAAAAGCAGAGTCAATTGTGCGATTCCGACTACATCATGAGCATGTGTTTATGAATCACAAACACATACAAAGGCAAGGCAATTGTGCACCTGACTAAAGAACAATAAAAGAAACCCAATTAACAGCTTCTTACGACAAACGCCGGGTGCTAGACCCTCTTGCCCAGTGTTCCGTGTGGACGGAATTGATATATGACATTTAATGTCCTATTATAGGGTACTGCCCATTTTAATGTCATTCATACAGCCCAGACAGAACACAGTCGTGGTGTCACACGGCTAGAGTGAGTACCGACATCGTATTTAAAAACAGTTCCACCTGGAATCCATATTTATTTCTGAGAGGAATTCTAGTGTAATAGTAGTACCCTCTCAGCTGCCGGGGCGGTAGGGTAGCCTAGTGGTTAAAGAGTTCGCTACTCACGCCGAAGACCCGGGTTCGATTCGCTCCCTACAAGGGTACAATGTGTGAAGCCTATTTCTGGTGTCCCCCGCCATGAAATTGCTGGAATATTGCTAAAAGCGGCGTAAAACCATACTCACTCATTCACTCTCAACTTCCAAAAATCATACTGTTATCATTAAAATAAGCGTTCGTTCAATTCGTTCACCTACCTCAGCGTTGCACAGACATTCGTCGTCTACAGACCAACAACGTTGGCTGGCGTATCTAACAACACACCCTTGACGACTACGATCAATTGACCACAACTGGGAGCACGTCTATTGGCGTGTTCCCCAAGGGGGAGCAGCCTCGTGTTCACAGATTCAGTGCTGGCTACATCACCATGATGCCAAACTGGCCTCTCTCTCGGTGGCAGAAATACAATAACTGTATCATAGTTTACCAAACATGATTGATAACACCTACTGAAACTATATTCAAAGTTTGCATATAAAATGGGCCCGAATTCGTTTTATCTATGATAACCTTTAACCTTCCTTGTAGAATAATGATGCAATAAGGAAGCTTTGCAAAGTATTGTTTACAGAAACAAATGTCGCAAACAAAGGTCGCTTGTTGCCAATGTCAACAGCTTGATTGCTAACATCATCGGGAAGTTCAGAGCCGTCAGAGCTATAAATAGAAGCAAGGCCTTGGGTTTTTCCATGCCTTTGTTATCACCAGTGTGACAGGTGTCCGATTGACGAGACCTTTTGGGGCAGCTGTGAACAGTCAGTCACACTTCAGTGGATACCATGATGAAATTATTATTATGTTTTTAACATGAGTTGAACAGACGACTCGAGAGGAAGGGATGGGTGGAAAGTATAACATCGAGAGAGATCGCCCATTGGACTTAAGCCCCCAACAGATTAAACAGATATACGTCATTGACCAAAATATGGACCTGATGAGCTAACTGTCACACACACACACACACACACACACACACACACGTCGTCTTCTAACACGCTGTATTCAAATAACGGGATGTGTTCGGGGATTTTTGAAAGGATCACGTTATTTAGGTCCTGGTGTGCAATATCTCTGCGTGCTGGTTACCGCGATATCCGCATTCTCTGTAAATCTCCGAGCAGGAAGGAAAACGTGATTGTCACCAGTGACACACAGCTGGAGAGTGTTTATCTACCCCGCGTACCTCGTGTAAGACTGAGTGTCCACTGATTGTTCAGCCCTGTATCTTACACACAGACGAACCATTGTGTCATGACGTCAACACGTGATGTAACTAGCGTGGCTATAAATGGACATCTGTGTGTACAGTATGCACCGTGTGCGAAATACGCTACAGTCGGAAAGCGCACGTTAAATCTCCTATATCAGTCAGTCAGTCAGACAGTATGCAGTGTTAAAAATACCCGCCTGCCCGACAGACCGAGACTGTTGTAAAACAACAAACAAATAAACAAAACGTATATGTGCGCAGTTTGTACGATATAATGTCCAGCTAGACAACCGGTTGTGATTCACTGAAATGGGTAGGTGGGGGTCGCAACAGGTGTAATAATCTGAAAGGCGAGTAAGCCCAATCCAAATTACCTCCCCTTAGTTGGTGCTTGTCCCCCATGTGCTTGTAATGCGTCTCAGCTATCCACACATTGAACCTGTGTGTGATTTCACGCTTCCATTCTGTTCCATTCTTTTGCAATTTCACAATTTTAAACATCATTGTAAATCAAGTTTGTTTAAGAGTGAGTGAGTGAGTGAGTGAGTGAGTTGGGTTTAACGCCGCTTTGAATGGCACTGCAGTTATATCACGGCGTGTCAGTTGTTTGTGGGAGGAAATCCCGAAGTGATGCAGGCCTCAGACGTTTACCACTTTGGTGAAACCACGAGCACGGGTATGGTGCTGACAAACCTAGAAACATAATCGGGGTGAACCGGGATTCGAACTCACAATCAAAATTTTCTGGCGTGCCCAGGAGACGCAACTCTGCACAGCGATTTGGGCGCCTTAGGCCAACTGTGTCCCCGTTTGTTTAATAAGCAAATAGTTGTCTATTAGTTATTCCAGTGCAGATGAGGGTGTAGTGCGTGCAGTGTGAATATACACGGGAAACAAGCTCCACTTGTACCAAGTCTGCTGAGACCCCCGTACCCTCACAAGGAATGGGCGTGCAGTGTAAATATACACGGGAAACAAGCTCCACTTGCACCAAGTCTGCTGAGACCCCCGTACCTTCACAAGGAATGGGCGTGCCGTGCCACGCCCAGGAGACTGTGCTATATTTAGGACATAAACAACGAGTGGGAGTTGTTTATCGTACAATAAAACACTGCATGGACATTAAACCACGAGGTTTAGGGCGGAGCTCCCACTCGTCGTTTATTTCTTTTCAACATAATGTACAGCCTCTTTAATGGTGATGATAAAATGTGCAAGCTTCAAATATATATAGGGGCGGTCGGGTAGCCTAGTGGTTAAAGCGTTCACCCGTCACGCTGAAAACCCGGGTTCGATTCCCGACATGGGTACAATGTGTGAAGCCCATTTCTGGTGTCCCCCGCCGTGATATTGCATGAATATTGCTAAAAGCGGCGTAAAATCAAACTCACTCACTCAAATATATATACCCGTATTTAAATAATGATGACTCCCTCAATAGAATCCGGCCTCGGCAATGTCGGACAAGTCCATTTCATGCACAGATGGGTATTTCCCGCATATTCTCACAATCCTCACGTCGATTACCTGTACCTTTTCTCCCAAACCCGATTGTCATATCTCTCCCGGTTTGGGATGAGATCGTTCGGTCTTCGCGTTTACCTACGTTGATCAGCTACACCTATGGGGAACAACTCACGAGACACTCACCGTACAAAAACATCGTCCAATATACGACGTCATCAAGTTGCGAGCGCATGTTCGAGTCTCCAGAAATGACGTAAAATAAACGTTATCATTTTCTTTGCGATTTATCGCATAGCTATGTTATATATTGGCCATTCGTCACCACTCGCCCCTTTCCGTAACCCACAAGAAGAAGCCTACCCCTATCGATGAATGTTTTGTGCGAAAATATGACAAACCAATCAGAATGCGCGAATGATTTCAAGTTCTTAGACAAAGAATGCCTCAGAAACAATCTAAAAACAGATACCCAAGACACAGTTAAATGTGTTCAATCATACTGTATAATTCCGCATGTCCAGATGTGCTGTAAATTGCATCTGAAATATATATAATATATGGGGACATATATGTGAACCATTACCCAAGAGTTGACAATTGTTTTAGGTATGCCCGTTTGCGCTAAGACGGAACCCGGTCGCAAAAATGGCCACGAGAGGGGCACGGGTTGCTATTCGGCTTGTCCCTGAATGACACGAGTTAGTCACGAATGATATATTTGCGTAACATCACTGACATGACGTCATTACAACCATTAACTTCGACTCGACCCGAATAAGGCGATCAACAGCGGATCTCAACCCAACCTTGGATATTACATAACATATATGTAGATGTCTCGTGCTCTGTATGACGTGGTTTGCCATATTTGAATGTAAAGTTCCACACGAAATATTATCACAAATGTTTGTTTACATTTGAGGGAGTGTGGCAATTTACTACAGTGATATATAACAGATCGATAACTGAGGCATTGACGAGAGTAGTATTCTGTATCTAGGCGTGCATCTTGAAAGGGATGGGACGGGTAGCCCGGGTACTCGGGTCGGATGGGTCCTGAGTAGGACCCGGGTACCCACAGTACTACCCGGACCCGTGGTTAGTCACGTGATGTATTGTTTAATGACAAAAACTCACTATAGCTCAGTGGTTACACTACAAGTCGCTAATGTTCACATTTTGTTCTGATGATGCACACATTCCTTTTGACTTGTATATGTTTGAGTAAAGATAAAGCTTCAGTCAACCTCAGTGTACGCATGATTTGATCGTTTCATAAAAGACCGTATATCTATTGTATGGTCTCTGGTTTCATAAATGTATCTAAACAGTTTTTACCAGGGCTAAGGTGTAACTATTCCCAATTAGACATTGTGTTCCCAACTCTTGAGACCTACAGTGGAAACCCGGGTAGGATCGGGTAATAGGGGGTCGGGTACCCGGGTAGTAAATTTTGACTCGTCCCTGCCCTAATCTGTAAGCTGCTAGTATATGATTCGGGGTCTCTGTGCCATGATCAGCCATTCCTACCCGTGTCCTTGACAGTGGGAATCGAATGACTCTTTACAGCGACATTGTGACACATAGCAATGACGAGGAGTCCCCACTCTTACATAGCGGCATTTAGTATTTGAGTAACACAACCGTACAGAATCTGCTGTCAGGATACCATATGGTAGGCTAGTGGTCAAGAGGCTATCTCGTCACACCGAAGGTACGGGTTCGATTCCTCACACGGGAACAATGTGTGAAGACCATCTTTGGTGGCTCCCGCCGTGATATGGCTTAAAGCGGCGTAAAACTATACTCATTCAGAACAGGACCATGATACGGTCTTCAAAACCGTTCTGCTTGATCTCAGATCTGTTCGTGTACTTTAATTGGATTAATAAAACATTATTATACCTACATGTAACACTATTATACCTACATGTTCAACCTATTATACCTAAATGTAAAACGAATATTATACCTTTTTGTACAACATACATTTGAAACAGATTTCTTGAAATAGACATGTCAAGTTACATGTGAGGGATTTTTTAACTTTGTGTATGGCGAGGTCAGCAAATCAGACAGAATTTCGGCGATTTTCCAGTTCAAGTCAATAATGACCGCTATCGTCGTCACATCATTACTCTATGTAATAGGAATGAACTCCCGTCACAACTGCAGGCCTCGACTACAGATAAGAGAGGCTGTGCAAGCCCACAAACCGTCCCTACTGCGCCGGTGCGGGTCCATACTCTGCTCTGCTTCACATTCATGCAATGGTACAATGACTGACTTATCTGTGAAAATCTTTAACGTTGTCAACTAACTAAACACTTAGGTTTGAGGGGATGTGGGGTATGTCTCAAAACCTAAGGGAAATAGAACTAATATTATATTTGGTAGGGCTGGAACGGGTCCAAATTTACTACCCGGGTACCCGCCACCTTATTACCCGACCCTACCCGGGTACCCGCTGTAGATATTTAGAGATAGGTACAAACTGTCCGATTTGGAAAGGTTTGACCTTAGCCCTGCAAAATGTATTTAGATACACGTGTAAAACGATCTGGTCTTCCATACACTGAAGTTTACTGCATCAAGTTTTATCTTTATTCAAACATATAAAAGTCAGAAGGAATGGGTGCATAGTCAGAAAGAAATGGGAACATTAGTGACTTATAGTGTAACAATA